GAAAGACCTTAATTTGGATTTATTTAATGAAGACTGTTAAAGGCAAATCTTTAGCGTTTAAGCTGGCTGCAGGAAATTGACTCTTCTGATCTCTGGCCAATTGTTTTAATACAAGAATTTGTCTTCATTATAGCAAGAAGTTCTCTTTGATACCTTTTTGAAGTCTAAAGCAGTCTTTAGCTCTCATTCCAGTATTTTTTGTTTTATACCTCAGTATTGTTGTTGTTTGTTCTTAAATGTTTAATTTTTATGGATTTTGAAGTTCTTTCTCTGGTTCCTGTGTGTTTGTATCTCAGGACTTGAACCAGCTCGCCCCAACCTTCTCCTGGGATTGCTGATCTGCCAGAAGGACCGAAAGCGAGTCGGCGCGCCGCTTGAAACAGAGGACAAACGGTCCAAAATTCAAACCAAAGACGCAGATGAAATCGGACTCCCAAAACCCGCTCCCGCAGTCAAGGCAGAGAGAAGTGCACGGCAGAGCCTTGAAATCCCCTTCAGCACGACTCCTCCAGGTTCACCTCCATCCAACTCTTCTGAGACTGCCAACAGCAGCACCGCAAACGCTGCCGCCTCGGTCCTTTCCTTGCTATCGGCTGTCAATGCTCCAGTCACATCCGGTACCCTTGGCAAGGATTCCACATCCGGAAGCTCTGCTGCCGCCTCTGCATCAGCCGCCACCCCTCTTCAAACCATTCTCAACACGATCTTCAGGAACAAAAAGCTGGACTCGGACGCTTCTAACTCTCCATCTGATCAAACTAGGGAACTTCCTGCCACCGCTACCATGTTAGACCCTATTGTCCAACAGTTTACCCAAAATTCAAGAGAGACACCGGAAGAAGAAGATGAAGACGACAGACCATATGATCCAGAAGAAGAGTATGACCCCAGTCTGGTCTTTAATGTGCCCAAAAAGGCTGCTGACGAACTAATCAAACCTGAGATCTCTAAGCCGACTGAGGTGGAAGCAGCCGAAACTGACGATGTGGAGTACGATCCTGAAGATGATTCGATTTTTGATGATGTGAAAACTGTGATACCGGCACAAACTAAGCCCATAGCTGAAAATGTCCCCGATGCAAAGATGATCCTGGAAAATCTTCGAAGAATTGGAGATCAAGCACTACAGAAACAGGCAGAACAGCAGACGTTGTCCACAGAGACAGCCGCTGCAGCTTTGTTACTTCCAAACACAGTTGCCAGTAGTCACATACTCCAACTTGGCAAGAAAGTTGAAGAACTAGTCAAGTCGTCAACGGTTGCTCCGCTTATCAACCAGAGAAGAGATCCAAGACAGAGCAGGGATCCTCGCCAGTCTGTGGGTGAACAGAAACAGTCTGAACCGGAACAAAAAGAGGAGTCGTCTCCTCCTCCTTTAACCGAACCTTCTCCTGCCTCTGCACCTCTGGCACAAGAGCAATCTCCACCTAAAGTAGAAGAACATGCTGATGCCCCACAAGGTCCAGAGACTTCGCTGGCCCAGGAGGAGGAAAAAAGTGAGGCGACTCTGCCTTTCATGGACTCAGACAATGAAGAGGTTTCAATTCCTTTACTGGGAGAGAAGGTGGAACATAATATGGAGGTCAGCTACATGACCGATAGAAAAAGGAAAAGAGACGAAGATGACAAAGAGGAAACTGAAGTGGACAAATACAGCATTTGGCCAAATGCTGCCAGTATCTTAAAGGCTGGTGATGATTTAAAGTACGAGGAAAACAGCCAAGATGCCCCATCTTCGCGGTATCGCAGAGAGTCTGCAGACATCTCCACGGTAACGTCCACCATCCCGGTACTCACTCAAAGCACGGTGGCCGATACTCACTCGCATCACATGTCGCACCACATGGCCTCCTTCGATAACGAGTACCGACCGCCAATCGATGTTCCACCACAGTCCAGCTTTGTCCCTCCCCACCCCATGCAAGGTCAGAACCTGATAATGAGGCCTCCGCCACAGTCTATGCTGCAACCCATGCAAGGTCCTCCTCTAATGTCCGGTCCTCCTTCGATGCGGGGGCCTCCCCCAGCTATCCACGTTCCTCCCTCTGTTCATGGTCCTCCCCCACGTCAAGGGGATGGCAGTCAGCAATACGGTCCAACTCCGACATCCTACCCTCCCTATCAAAACCAGAACCAGTGGCCGAACAACCAGCACCAACAGCAGCAGCCACCTCCTGGACCACCAATACAAAACATCCTGCCGCCTAGGGGACCCCCTCTTCAATTCCCTCCAGTTCCTCAGAGAGCACCCCCTCCACAAATATTTGACCCCTCCATGACCCCTCAACACATTGGACTACAAGGCCCACCTCCAAACATTCACCCACCTCCAAACTTTGAAGGACAGAACAACTTACCGCCACCTAGATTCTCTAGTCCTCTACCTCCTTTTAATTTCCCTGCTAACAGAGGTCCTCCTCCATCTTTCACAGGACCCCCACCATCTGCTCACTTTGATGCCAGGCACCCTCCTCCTGCTCTCTTCCCAGGCCCCAGGGCTCCCCCACCAAATCAGCATTACAACAAGGACAGTCCAAGTAACTCCTTCAATCCCAGTATGGACCAGAATCCAAATCCTCCCCAATATTTTAAAGAGAATCTTGGTCCTCCAGCACCTTCCGCTTATCGTGGACCTCCACCCGACCAGTATGAGGACAGGAGATTACTGCCTCCTAGCACGGAGTTGAGCGGACAGCTCTTCCAACCACATAACCAGTATGGGGGTTCAAGGCCACCGCCATCTTCACCGCTAGAGAGACGGTCTTTCGATGAACCCCGCGGACTCCCGGCTCAGGAAAACAGGGCCCATCTTTCTCAGATTTCAGAACGCTACCGTTTCGATTGGCATTCAGACGAACCCAGACCTGTTCGCCACGGCATGCCGCTGCTGCCACCATCTGTAGACGGACTACACGGCCCTCCCAATCGCCACGGAGGCCAAAGTCCAGACCTACAGAGGGAGGACCACTGGCGACGACTTTCTCCGGAAATGAGAAGGAGGAGTAGTGGCACCCACGACGATGTAGAGCCTCGCACCGGAGAGCGTGGGGAACGTTTAGAACGTGGAGAGCGTTTGAGTCGCTTTGACATGCCACACAGAGAACTCAGTTCTGGCTCCTCACAGTCCTTAGAGGAGAGGCAGAGAGAGCTCTCTGAAGACCACAGGAGGGAGAGAGAGAAGGAAAGTCCTCATGGTGGCAGGCCCCCCTGGGAGAGGGGAATGGGCAAGCGCTGGAGTCGGGAACAAGAGTGGGACCGAGGACGGGAGAGGGAGCGGGAACCAGAGCGTGGAAGAGAAGGAGAGCGCAGCAGGGGTAGGGACAGTGAGAAGACCAGGGACTCAGAGGGAGAGAGACACAGGGATCAAGACTCTGAGAAAAGGAGGGAGAGAGACAGGGAGAAAGAAAAGGAGAGGGACAGGGATAAGGATAGAGACAGGCCTCGGGAATCCGACCGGAGAGACCATGACCGCGACAGAGCAAGAAACCGAGACAGGGACAGGGAGCGGGAACGAGACCGAAGACGAGATCGATCAAGAAGCAGAGACCGCGACCGCGGAAAAGACCGGGGAAGAGACAGGGAACGAGAAAAGGATCGAGACAGAGAGCGGGACCGGGATCGCGAAAGAGAGAGAGACCGAGACAAGAGGAGCAAAGAGAAGAAAGAGGACAAGAGAGAGAGTAAACATGATTCATCCAAGGAGAAAACTAAGAGTACAGACAATGACAAGCACTCTTCCTAGACTCTGTTTTATAGACATTACATCTTTCTTGCTCCTAAGTCCTCATCCAAACATCACTGTAAATGTGTATGAGCAGTATTTTGTTGAATTTCCATTTTCAAACGGTTCTCTGGAAAAGCTCTAAACAACAGACAGTGTTTGTACTCTTTGTCTCCTTAAGATTTCTACGTTTGTGTTTTTTATTCCCTCAAGTTACTTGGGTACAACACATTGTGTAGGCTTCCAGTCCTGACAAATGTACTTTTCTCTGGTTGCAATGTGTTGGGTTTTTTTTGTTTCTTGTTTTTTCTGAAGAAATCAAAATAATGTAACTGATTAACACACCATTTACAAAATGTAAATATGCACATATATATTTCTGTATATACTGATGTTTTTATCCAGACTTTTCTAAGTGCAGCAAATAAAAGCCATATATGTGAGGTGGATAATGTGAAGCTTAAGGCAGCGCTGTGGAAACGTGTCCAGCTACTTTGAACTAAAAGCTTTTTATCAACAGTGTACATCCCATAGTGTTGAGGAAAATGTCCACAGTTTCTCAGCTCAACCAATTAAAAATGTCTCCTAAGGTTTATTTGTTAGTCTCATTTTTCTCTCTCCTTATTTAAAGAAGAATGGCGCACAGCGTCACATGGCTGTGTGCAAAGTGCAGTTTAGAATTTATATGCTAAACATATATATTTAGCATTTATATAGATTCAGGTGTCAAAATTCATTCTTAACTTGTTTAAAGCTGCCATTTTCAAGTGATGCAAAAAAAATGTTGGAATTTGAACTTTTGAGTTTACGTGAACTGCTGGGAGCTAGAAAGACCTCGACTCCTCGAGTGTACAAACATTTTTACTGAAAAAGTTAAAAAGTGGTACAATAAAGTAACGGCCATACTGTTATTTATTGAAGTCCTATGTTTTTGTCGTTTACACAATAGAATGAATACAATTCTCATTTGTATTTTCGGTATATGTGGGTTATGTTCTCAAGAGGATCTAAAGACCCAGACATTTATTTGTGAGCCCAGCTTTATCTTATCTCAAATATGATGGAAGAAACATCCTACTTGCTGTGTCCTCTACCAACTTTAAATACATCTTGTAGGTTTGCTTTTTTTTTTTAAAGCTCATTTCTTGCCACTGTTCCATGAAGGAACGATTCATGGAGTCCCTAACTAAAGCTAAGCATACATCATCAGTAAAACATGCAGAAACACTTAACATGTTTTCACTACAGTCCTGGATTTCAATTCAAATGACTCGGGTTATGGAGTGAGGTTTTATTCTTTTAATGAAGAAAAGGCATGAATTACAATTCAAGAACTCAGAACAATTTAAGTGTAGACATTTCAATTCTGAAAATCAAACTAAACGATAGATATGAAAAAATAATCCAGTTTATGTTCACCTTTTTTCTGAAGGTGCTGTAATGTACTTTATTTGTCTTAGTGTAAAACACACATTCAGTGCATAAGAACAGGAAGAATAAGTAAACAACTGGAAAAACTGCAAACATGACTAGTAGGTGTTATACCTCAACAAACAACTGCTTTCATCTCAATCTTCACTTTAAAGTGGAGATTAATAGACTCTAATCTCCAATACTTTACAGATATAAAGCTTCTGAACAAATGTTCAACAGGTTGTGCATTAAATTTTTATTCTTATTGCATATTTATTGCTACATCATCAGTTGTGCATTGACATGTTGTCCCAGTCGTTTCCTTCTAAACTAAATTGGTCCTGTTCCTGCCAAGCTTTTGACCATGCGTCCTGGATTTTCTTCGGGCACCACACAAACGGCTCACTATCGTTGTAGTGATCATAGGCAAACTTGAGAAGCTTCCTGCGTTCTTGCTTATCGAGAACAGCAAACAAGAAGTAGCTCAGGGCGCTGTCTTTGACCCTCGGAAGTTCACCATTGACCAGAGTCTCTTCCAGGAAGAACCGAACCAGAGGCACTTGGTAGTGACGGTATCCAAGAGTTCCCAGGCACTTCAGGATGCGGGTGATGCGCAAGTTGTTGTGTGTGTGACTAAAAAAAAAGGTCAAAGGATTAACATTTGGATGAAATTGTAGCTAAAATACACATATTTTTGTTTTTGGTAAATGCATAAATTGCTCACTTGTTCAGATTCTGGAACCTGTCAATCCAGTGGTCTGCTCTCGCGACCTTTCCTGTTTCCTCATTTTCTAACTTGATGCCATAAAAATCCAACATGAGCTCGTAAGACTTAAGTAGATTCTTCCTTGCAGTTGTACTATCAAGAAAATCCTGAAGGAAAAGCAAAGATTATGTAAAAACTTGTGTGACACTTTTGTTCAAATAGTATATTTTATAGAGCTTTACCTGAATTTCCTGCTTCGTCAGGGTTGTTGCTTCATAGTTCACCCCGGGTTCCTGCAGAGGAAACAGCCTTTCAAAGACAAATTTAATCACAACGAGGAATTTAAGCTTTCCTTCAAATCTTTACATCGTGTTGTACCTTACCACTGAATATAGCTGTGTGTATGCTCCAGTTTGGCATACTTTCCTTTCCATTCATTGTGGAACTGATGAATGTAGACCCCTGATAACAAACACTAAGGTTATCAAACAGAAATCAGTTTTTATATAAGTTTTTTTTTTTTTAAAAAGACGCGTAAATATTTCATTTATTATGGGAAAATATCCAGACCAGTGTGAGAAAGTAACTGGCCTCCTTGTTAAACCGTGAATTATCTTTGACTAAACACACTTTTGGTTTAATTTCACTACTGACACAACTCAACAATTAAGAAATCACTTCAATAAAACCTGGCAAACATGAAGTCGACTAAAAGATCTCAAAGCCATATTAGGTGTTCGTGGAGGCCTACCGTCTGGTAAAGATGATGTATCCCCGAGGTAGAAGCTCAGATTGGGCTTTTCATCCTACTCAGGAAAGACAAATTTTATTTTGGAATGCTTTTCACAAATAAAAAAAAGTCACTTGAAACAGGTGATTGTGAGTACGTACATTTTCTTGCCCAAAGTGTCGTGTCCGGTGAAGGTTCTGTGGGGAAAAATAAGTTGGAAAAAATAATTTGGAGCCAATTGTAGAAGTACAACGATGCCGTCTGTGGCTGTATGTGTGTTAAACTCACTGGGTAGTCGTGCCTGTAGTTCTGCATGTCTTTAGCAGCATTTTCAAACCTGATGAACTTGTACTGGAGAAGAAAACACAGTCATGTCATTGATTTAACAATTGGCTCAGCTCTCCCTTAGTGTACAACAAAAATACATAAACATAACCATTGTAAAAATTTATTTTGAAGAGTGTTAAATATTAACTACTAGTTATTTTATTTTTTTAAATCAGGCATGTTATAATATAATGCTGCTCAGTAACAGATAAATTGTATCAAATTATTAAGTCATAATTTAACTGAAATGATGGTTTAGTCAGCAATTATCCTCATACATTATAAAGATTTCCACAAAGAGTAGTAAGAGGGATGTATTTGTATGAATTGTGAAATAAATGAATACAAATTTAGCAAAAGTTAAGAACTGCTATTTCACCGAGGAAAACATGTTGGAACAACAATCTAACGCTATATTCACCTTTAGCTTGTTAGCGCTAATGCTAAAGTCAAACTAGCTAGCATGCAGTGCTTCTCATCTACGCATCTTAGCTGCGGTTGTCAGGGCAAAGCTTGACATTTGACCTCGCTAGATAAGATTTAAAATGCTCAGTACTATTTCAAAAGAGATTTACATAATTTATCATTGGAGGACGAAGCCTTCACAAAAATGATCTGCATAATAAATTTAAGATTTCACTGAATTTCAGTTAAATTTTAGATTTTTTTGACACCCGATTAAAATAATTTCTAACAAAAATACCAGCTTTATTACTGAAAATGACTGAATAATGATACATTCGGGTTTTAAAAAATAAAATAAAATAAAATTCTATTGGTTCAATCTTTATAGTTTTTATTATTTCGGCACAATGGTAAAACCCCCTTTATTTTGTTGATACAGATTCAATAATAATAATAAAAACTTGTGAGGCATCGCCCTCAGCTCCAAAACAATAACCACACCCCGATTCCTCAGACAAACCACAGAGCAAACATTTATAAATAAAAGTACATGAATAAAAAAAAATACAAAGTAATTTATAAGGCCTAAAATTAGGAATATTAAATAAGATTTTTTTTTATGACTAGTTAAACTGAATTCATTCTTTTAGACACCTCTTAAAAATATGCATTAAAGTGTTTTATAACATCGTCCAATCAGAAACGTAGATTAAAATCTTCAGTAAGTAACAAAATGCTGGCAAACTTTTCCAGCACTTTTATTAGGTTGAGTCGAGCAGTTTGTTTTTATGAGTGCAGGAAATGAATGCAGAGCAGAAGACCTGAAGTTAAACTGCTGCTGAGAGGAGCTGCATAATAAATAAAGTTGTAGACAGGTTAAACTCACAGTTCTGTTCCTTCTGGTTTGGAAGGTCCTGCTCCTTCTTGGGGGTCCCTCATTCTCATCCTCCCATGTTGAATCATAGTCGCAGTAGAAATCATCCGTTTCGTCGACTCGATATTCATTTCCGCTGAACTCCTTCTCTACCTTAACCTCTGTAGGCTCGTCCGGTTTTTCGGGGACCTCACTGGGGCTCCTCACAGTGGGGCCATTGTAAAGACCCCCGCTGATCCCTTCCTCCTCATCCGAAGAGTACCTGTTGTTCTCACTCGGCTCATTTCTTCTGCCTCGCCAAGTCAGCGAGGCGAAGTTTTGGACTCTTACGCATAACAATCGAGCTCGTATGCAGAGGAACTCAACACCCGGGATCCGCAAAATCCAGGACCACAGTGGAGACAGAGTTTGAAAGAACAACCTAAGAACAAAACTAACCAGGTCGAAAAAGTAGGAAGCCTTGCGTCGAGCGCGACGGTACATGTTTGACAAGCTCTCCATGCTAGCCGACAGCACATCAGTTTCACTTTCTCCCACGGTTCACTTTGCAGAAATCGAAACTGAACTTTCTAACAACTCCCACAAATATACCCGTCGTGTGCACGGCATGGCTTCACTCAGCGCGACAAATGGAATTACGCGAAGTCCAGTTTGTTTTTTGTCGAGTTGATACGTTTTTAGACATTAAAATGTCTTCCGGGTCCATCTAATTTAATTAGAGTAAATGTCAAAATGTGGTTCAAGTCTGAGATGTGAATTTTAGGTGGGCAGTGAGCATCTAACAAGGACCGCCGACTAGAATTATAGTAAAAAAAAATTATGTCTATTCTTGCATAATGTACTTTTTCAAACAACAAAGAATCATGATTGTCTGTGAACTACAGTCCATGTGCAGTGACACGAAGCATCTCCAAATCAAAATCAGCTAATTCACTGGGCATACTCAGGGCCAAGGCCTAAAAGAAAACCAGCACCAATTAGTCTCCAAAGGAGAAATAAATCTAAACTCACAAAGTTTAGTAGTGCTTTCACAAAAAAATATAAATAAATATGCTAGAAATATAACACTGTCTGGTAAAATGTGACAGTTTTATTTATATATATATATATATATATATATATATATATATATATATATATATATATATATTCATTGGTTTCAGTTATGGTGTTGGTAGCGAGTGTTCGTTGTTGGTGTTCGTTGCTCAGCGAATGTCTCAGGCAATGGGGAACAGAGGACAAGGTGCTGGAGGAACCATCATGGGAGGACAAGCCCCTACATGGGATGTACCACC